CACACACACACACACACACACACACACACACACACACACACACAGCGGGCTGTGTATGTTTTACCCTCAATGAAAAGCATCATCTGAACCAAAAAGAGCACAGACGCACTCCAAACACAAGTGCGTGTTTGCTTTTCTTCTCGGCTGACGACAACCAGCTTTGACAGGACTCCCTACTTGCCCTCAGATACTTGCAGCAAAAAGGACAGAGGATGACGAGGAGAGGTTATGCGTGTGCGATGCTTTCATATCAGATATTTGTCTTTTTAAATGATTGTTTTGCAACCAGGGGTATTTAGTGTTGCTGCCTAAATGATGCATGTAAATAAGCCTCCACTGGTACAATGTTGTTCCACATCGCTGAGCAAAAAAAAAAAAATGTTTTCTGCCTCATTTTATGAACTTTGTGCTTGAGTTGAGCAATGTGCAGAAATAAAGATCTGAAGAAGAACTTAGTGCATTCTAATAAAGACATGCAAAACTCAGGTTATTCATGATCCACTGCTTAAAATTAAAWGTCTGGTTGTATTTTATGTGGTATTTTAGCAGCATGCAGTGTGTCTGTGTAACGTTTCAGCCAGTAACTCTTGTTTCTGTGCATCGAGTCCAGCTTTCTCTCTCTCTCTCTCTGTCTTCTCCCACATTCTCTAGTCTGTCTCCATTTCCAATTATAGACTGTCACCTCTCTCCTTTCCCCCGATCCTATCTCCTGTTGCATTCTCTTGCTGAGCAATTACCTACACCTGAATCTCTCCCTCTGGACAGCATGCCTGGTTAGTTTCCTGTCTGCGCTCTTTAACGATGAAAGTGAGGGGGATGAAGAGTTTCTTTGGGGGGTTCATGACCATTTTGAAGGTTGCTTTGAGCTTGAACATATGTGGTATGATCTGTGCAGCCAGGGCCACAGATATCCAGATCCAGGGCATTCTGGATTGTTTCACACAACTGAGGCAGCTTTTCAGACGACAGGGGGGAGATGAGTCTTTTGCTCATTAACTTGTTTGGATTTCTAACTTCATCGCTGTTCACAGTTATTGTCTTTCTGTCAAGAAAATCCTAACGTCTGCACTGCTTTTTGTTTTATCTAAGCCTAACAGGGTTCCAAGAAGAAATGAAAGTGATCCAAGCTCAAAATGTCTCTGCATCAAAATAAAAACATGCACAAATACATCTAATAGAAACACCATTCTGAAATACATTATCTTTTTTCCTCTCTCTCTCTAATGATGGTACAAGACTGGAGGAGAGAGATAAAAGAAAGGGACACAATTAGGAATAAGAGGAAGACAAGGAACAGTGACATTAACTCTAATACAACAGATTAGGTTGGTCGTTGAGGCTGACAGGTCAAAGACAGAGAGTTTGAAGGCTGGCAGGAAAATGGGAGAATTCGGGTCGAACAGGTTGACTTCTGTGTTGACAGGTGCTTATTGCAGGTGTCTTTTCTCAGAGGAAAAAACGGTAGCAGCCACTTATGGGAAAATGATGTGAAGAAAAGACACCTATCACCTGGATGCTGGGTTTTAAATTAAWTTTTTTTAGGTTAGAAACAGAATCATGATTTCATCTTACGTGTTTGTTTTTGAAAGTTTTCGATTGTCAAAGCAGGCAAAGGTAATGTGTTGCAAATGGAAACGTGTGGTTCACAGGCTGTTTACTAAACTAACCAATTAACTGAAGAAGTGAGTTTTTCAGGTGCTCAAACAACAACATACAGTATATTACCTATAACATTTTATTTCCTGTTTTAAAACATTCAACTGAAACAAATTGCTCTTTTTTGTTGTATAAATGTTTCTCTCATAAACTCATGAGATACTTTTTTTAATACAGTATAAGTGTTGCGCGAGATGTTAATGAGAACAATGTCTTGACTTCATTCTCTGCTTTCAGGAACGTAAAGTGTTCCTGATAGACAAGATTAGCTACTTAGAAGTGAAAATTTTGTGATAATCTTTGTCCCTTTTTTCGTAAACAAATAAGCATATTTATTTATTTATTTATTTATTTATTTATTTATTTATTTA